CTTTGGACCCGGCATACCGGAACTCTGCAGTTCCCTCCACCGTCCTCTGCACCCCGGCTCTCTGTAAAAACTGTTCTGTGCTCCCCCACTCTGGTCAAGTCTGCACCCCCATCTTTTCATACCCACCTGACCCCCTGCAGGGTCATCTTCCCTGAGTTGTTCGCTCTTCCAATGCAGGATCGCAAAGGAGAGTACAGCATGATGGCCTTTGGATTCCAAACGCACTTCTCTTGCTCCGTCAACTAGCTTACTCTTCGAGGGCATCAAGGGGGGAAGAACTTTTTCCTTGGGGTGACGAGAGACAAAGTTGTGCTCCAATCGCTAATCGATTACAGACTTCTAGTGCTGTACCATAAAACTTACTTAATGCCAAACTGAATAGTATATTACTTTGTGATCAATCAGAAAGCACTTTAGTGATTAAAGTGCCTTTTGTTAATATGAATGCTAATTGTTATGGGTGGTGGAAAAAGCAGTCAAGGAAATTAGTAGATTTCTTTCTGGTTGATAGCATGATAGATACACCCACTTAAACTCCACCAAAAAAACAAAAAAGGGATGTAAAATTCAGTGAGACTTTGGCACCGGCCATTACAACCTATACATATTTCAAGTTGCTAATGGTATTAAAACTCCCTGATCTATGAAACTACTTAGTCGAGTATAATTATAGAGGATCAATGAATAGCTAAAAGCATTAATATAAAGTTTATTTTATTCTATGTGTAAGACCTGGGTACATCGTTCATCTTCATTACAATACGCACTTAGTTTTTCTTTTCCTTCCACAACTTTGTATTAATTATATATCAAAATGATAATATTTGGTCATATTGGATTAAACAAATTGTTTTTAAATATCTCACTTGTTCCATTTAGTGCTTTTTTATTATTAAACACTTTTATTGGGGGCTCTTACATCTCTTATCACAAGCCATGCATTCCTCCAGTGTGTCAAGCACCTTTGCACATATGCCGCCATCATCATTTTCAAAGCATTCTCTTCCCACTTGAGCCCCTGATATCAGCTTCCTACTTCTTCCCCCGCCCTCCCTCTTTCACAAACTCTTGATAAGTTAGAGATTATTATTTTCATATCTTACATCATCTCTGTCACCCCTCACCCACTTTTCCATTGTTCGTTCCTCTGGGAAGAGGTTATAGGTTGATCCTTGTGTTCGATTCCCCCTCTCTCCCTCCACCCTGCTCTAATCCTCCTGGTATGTCTACTCTCATTGTTGGCCCTGAGGGGTTTATCTATCCTGGATTCCCTGTGCTGTGGGCTCGTGTCTGTAGCAGTGTGCATGTTCTGGTCTAATCCAATTTGTAAGGTAGAATTGAGGTCATGATAGTGGGATGAAGGAAGCACCAAAGCACTAGAGGAAAGTTGTGTGTTTCATTGGTGCTCTACTGCACCCTGACTGCCTCATCTCGTCCCTGTGACCCCTCTGTGAGGGGATGTCCAATTGTCTACAGACGGACATGGGTCTCCACTCCATGCTCCCCAGCCCCCATTCACATTGGTATGATTTTGTTCTGGGTCTTAGAAGCCTGATAACCGATCCCATGGACGCCTAATGATCACACAGGCTGCTGATGCACTTAGTTTTAACCTACATCTAGGGGTTAATATCTCTAAGTGCCCACTGCAAACTCTTGCCCTTTTAATAAGATATCCAACAAGCCTGCCTCTCCCAATGACACTTGTATTTTATCTGCTTTAAAATATGATGTCCTTTGAGGTTTTGAAATTAAATATCGAAGAGTTGCAGCAGCGTTGCAAAGCAGAATGCCACTTACATTCTCACAAAGTAAATTTGTTTTATAAAGAAAGATGGGTCTCTTAGAAAATTACATCCAAAGGGTTTCAGGGTCCAGGCAGCAGCATCACAAAGTGGTTCAGTGTAGGCTGCAGTTAATCGCTGGACCATTTTTATCCATCAAGTCTTAATAGGAAAATGTAAGATGAAAAAGAAATATAGATTCAAAATTTCTATTCATGATCTAATGGCCTATTATTCAGACAACTCTCCGCATGTAGAAAGCCTTCATTAATACACCATCAAGGATGACATGAAAACTTCTGATTTTCCTCCAGGCTCCACGTTATGTCTCATGTAGCAAGGTTCCCATGAGCTCCGTCAGGTCTGCGTTAGCCTGTGTCCTCTACAGATGAGAAACCAGTGACCATCTATCTGTACATACAGAACGTAATTTGTACCAAGAACAGGGTTCACACAGTCATCAAAGAGAGTAAGTCCAGTCTGCTTCCAAGTCCCCGAGTCAGATGGTCTACTGGAAACTTCTCCTGACTTACTCGGAGAAGCTGCCTTGGGACTGGAATCCAGGATCAGCAGGAACACCAGAGGCTGCAGGGGCAGACGGCCCCCAGGTTAGGAGGGCAGGCTTGTGATGGGAGAGGTGACTAAATCCGAGGTCAGCAGGTCAGGGGGCGACTGGTTGATGGCTTGGGTCCAAAGAACGGGAGGTCAATGAGCCAGATGCAGGATCCAGACTCAGCCAAAAGCAGCTCAGCCAAGTCGGCGACCCCTGGGGAAACCTCGCCATTGCATCAGCTCTGTGACCCGTGTGAGCAGGTTGCACTTCACCGAATCTTCTGTTCATTTATTTCATTTTAGTCAATTTTTGTTGACACATACTTCATGCCCAACCCAACTCAAGGTCTTAAAGATATTTTAAAAAGACTTGTGCCACAAAATAATGGCCACAATCAATTTCTGACCATTTTCTTCATTCTTGTATCCATTGTCATTAGCTCTCCATTACCATCGCCCAACCTCCCCTGACATAAGCTAAAAACAAAACAAAACTCAGTGTCATCAAATGGATGCTGACCTCTAGGGACCTTGAAGGACAGAGTAGAACTGCCCCTGTGAGTTTCCAAGTCTGAAACTCTTTTTAAAAAAATGTTTTTATTAGGGGTTCATACAACTCTTATCACAATCCATACATACATCAATTGTGTAAAGCACATTTGTACATTCACTGCCTTCATCATTCTCAAAACATTTGCTCTCCACCTAAGCCCCTGCCATCAGCTCCTCATTTTTTCTGTAACTCTTTATGGGAGTAGAAAGCCTCACCTTTCTCCCGTGGAGCAGATGGTGGTTTCGAACTGCTGGCCTAATGTAGTTACTGTCTCTATAGATTTACTTATCCTGGATTTCATAAAAAAATAAATCATACCAAGAAGATCGACATCAACAACAACAAAATAAAACACAGATAAACTTCAATCCGAAAGAAGGCAGAAAATAATAAACTTTAGAATAGTCACCTTAATCTTATAACTCATGGGCTGTTCCAAGAAGATCCCATCCCAGAGATGCTGACACTGTGTTAGGAAACATCAGAGGGGATTGCCAGGCCCCCACTGCCAAACCCACTGAGAATTCTGGCCCAGCCAGGTTGATGAAACCCCCAACTACCATGTGGTCTAATATCTGCAATGTGTGCTGTGATATATAGGTATGTGTGTGTGTATACACACATATATTCCTATGTGTGCATACATAGAGACGTGAATGTAATCATTGTGTGTGTGTGTGTAACAGGAGCCCTAGTGGTGCAGTGGGGGGTGAGTTGGGCAGCTAAACACAAGGTCTGCAGTGGGAGCCCACCAGCCGCTCTGCTCCCATAGAGATTTGCGGCCCCCCAGGGGCAGTTCTGTTCTGTCCTATATGGACGCTGTGAGTCAGAGTGTAGTTGATGGCAGTGGATGATATAAAAGAGTAGTTGTGCTGAATATAATAAGTACATGTGGTTTAATTTGAAAAATTCCATCTTGAACGTATCCAACTTGATTAAAAAAGAGAGAGGGGGTAAGAGGCAGGAGAGTAGTGGAGTGGGTTTTAATGGCTTTTTAATTCCTAAAACTCGAAAGAACCTACTCTCTTTTTGGTACAAGAATAAATGTGCCTGGGAGTTTCTGCCAACATCACGAGCCTACATGCAATTGTGTGTGTGATTCTAGGGAGAGGCTCATTCCTTCTCCCTATGCTGAGCGATTTCCCCCTTGGGCACTGGAGAAAGTAGCATGGATCTTCCCTTCACATAGTCCATCGGATAGTGAATCCTGGCTTTACATATTGATGGCGAATGTTGAAATCTTTCAAGAATACACAGTTGATGGGTGCTTCTGAAGTATGCATTGCAACAATGGGTGCTTCTGAAGTATGCATTGCAACATGCCGGTGACACAACCTTGCTTGCTGAAAGTGAGGGGACTTGAAGACCTGGCTGATGAAGATCGAGGAGTGATGCCTTCACTATGTATTACAACTTAGTGTAGGGTCCTGGACAGAGGGGTTCTACGAAGCCACCATCTCAGAAAGTCATTGGCTCATAGTGACACTCCTCGGTTGTCAGTCTACCACCCTGAGCCTTTCCCACCACTCCTTCTTGGCCTCAGCTCCTACTCCAGTTTTCTACAGTCATCTCGACCCGAGCTGCCTCACTGGTGTCTTACCTGCCTATTCCCAACAGAGCTGTTCTGTTTGGAGCTGGTTTATGTGCTCGCTCAGCTCTCTGGTCTGGCACGACATGTAGGACTACAGCATCCGGTGGCCATCCAAGCTCCAAAGAAAAGCACAGGTGAGTTCTAATCTCTAATCTGCTACCTACCAACTGTGTGTGACTTCTGGTTCGAAAGGTTGTGACACAGATGCTGTGTCGGGTCATCTCTAGGGTCCCTTAGGATTCTGAAACCCTAGGAAGCAGGGAACTTCTTTCCTGTCCTCCCACACTCACCCATCTTCAGAGCATTTCACGCGAATAACCCAGAGTGCCAAGTGCAGGAGCTCATCACCCAGTGAAAGAGAGATGCATGGGAAAAGGTAACACAATTTCATCTTTATTTGCAGCACATTTAGCGTCTGCAGAATGGCCGAGGCGGCGAGTTCAGATGCGCGTTTCATGGCTGCACAGCGGTGTCCCCAGCATCGGGAGGTAGCTCCTCTACATATGCGGCTGGAAAGTGGCCTTTCTTCCCATTGAGAGATCCAAACCACCATCCTTCTCCCTTTTTCTCGTGTATAGCCACAATGTCACCTGCGGAGAAAACACAGCTAACTGGCAAGTCAGACGAGTCTCTGGGTGAGCTTGTTGGGTGAGCCACGCAGAGGCAGGGGTGGCTTTCAAGGAGTTCCTGGGCAGCATCTCTGCACGTGACTCCATTGAAGGAGGGGTTCCTGAGCACATACTGGGTATGAAGCAGACACCGTGCAGCGGACGCAAGAGTAAGACAGTGCGCAAGGCTGTGTGCCACGAGATGATTGACTGGGTCATCACAGTGACACCTGGCTTTCTTTGTATTTAGCTGATGCGTTGTCACCACACTCTCTCTCAGTGTTAGTGCTTTAGAGGTTTCTCTTGTTGGTGGCCACGATCACCTGGTACGTCAGCTACCACGGGTATGTCTGTGTTACCACACTTCTCCGGGGCTAAGCTTCTCTTTGTCACACCTGGCTTCACAGTCCAAAATTCCAACTCACAACTCTACCTAAGAGGTGGGGTAACGTTAACAAACTAGTAATTCGAAGGTGATGTTGTGTTGTAAGCTGCCTTTGCAGTGACCCTGACACCCGGCGACTGTGTATACAATCATACAAAACGTCACCAGGCCTATGCCACCTCCACGATCAGCAGCAGATCTGATCAGATCCTTGCAATCCTCCGTGGGGTCAAGGGCTGATTTTGGAAGTAGGTAACCAGCCCTTCCTTCTAGTCCATCTTAGTCTGGAAGCGCCTCTGAAACCGGTTCAGCACTGGAGCAACACACAAATCCCCATCTGCACGTGAGCTGCATTGACTGAGGCCCAAACCTGGGGCTCCCACGCGAAGGTGGGCATTCAGCCACTGAACCACAAATGCCTCCACAATGTGCAGAAAACACTTCTTTAAAACAATTAGTCAAATAAATAGATTCTGTCAAGAAACATTTGGACCTTCTCAATCTAATATTTTTTAATACCATGCCGAAATAATTTTTTCAATCTACCTCACTTTTCGTCAGTCATCCTATAAGACAAAGGGGATGTAATCCCCTTTCTATCTTCCCTTAGTCATAAATCACTGTTTATTGCTGTAGATCACTCTCAGTCTAATTTCTCTTCACTAATGAATTCTCTCAGGTCAATAGATTGGGATGATCTAGTAGAAAGAATTGAAACAAATGATTTAAAGTCTTATTGTCAGTTGGCCCAAGCTTCCATGATCCCTAGATTCCACTTGAAGTAACTACTTAAAATAGAAAAATCTCAGTAAGGATACAGTCATTGGTCCATAGCAATACTTCTCCTCAGCCATCCACTGAGCCTTTCTCTGGTCCTCCATCTCTCAGGCACACAGTCCCTTGGCCCTTGTCTCTATGGGCCAGGAAGCCATCCTGCTTGCCACCAGGAGCCCTGGTGGCCTAGTGGATTACTCACTGAGCTGTTAACAGCCAGGTCAGCGGTTCAAACACACAAGCAGCTACTCTGTGGGAGAAAGACAAGGCTGACTTTCAATTCCTGGCATTCTATGCCAGTGTGATACTGATACTGTGATGAAGAACGGAATGTTTCAAAGGTTTTCTGGTGATGGTTAAATTGGATAAGGATCTTGTAGCAGTGTCCAGCCCATAATACACAGTTAGTGCTCACCATTACCATGGTGCACGCTTTAATATCTGATGTGCTTCCTCTTTCTCCTCTCCATAGAGTGATTCTATCAACCTGGCTGACTTCACGCAGTAGTCTGCAATTCTAAGACCAACGTTTCTCCCACTCAGGGGCCCAGCATCAGAAGGCAATTATAATATGTGTGAATGTTTCTTACCTTTTTCCAAATTCAATTCATCCTCTTGCCTGGCTTGGAAAGCATATAAAGCTTTGCAAAGACCGTTGCCAAGTTGGGTCACACCTGAGACTGAGAGTCAGATTAAGTGGTAATTATTAAGACGCTGTATTGGTTGGCAAGATGATGTACCTGGAAGCTCGTTCTGACTATTTAACAGTTGGGAGCAGAGTATAATGATAATTGAATTTTCTCATAAGAAAATATATAACATTCATTCTTTGAAAATTCAATGGCTATTTTGATGTAGCCATTATGTGTATGGTGCTGTAAATATATAGCCTAAACCTGTATTATGATCCAGAGTATACTATGTTGAGGGGAGAAAACTTCCTGGGGTAACAATAATAAGAAAGATGACACTGTAAAGAGATCTGTATAGTACATGAACTTAGTGCATATCAGCCGGAGAGTTGGTGAAGTAGTTGCATGCATGTTTTGGAATGCACTCAGACATAGGTCGGGACTGCTGGGAGGATGTGCTTATTAGCCCTCTCCCTCGGTGCTTCTGGGCCTACTTATCAGGCAATGCTAAAAGGCCATTGCTGTTAAGTTGCTTCTGACCCTCAGCGACCCTGTAGGATAGAAGAGAACGGCTTCATAGGGTTTCCATGACTGTAAATAGGAGCAGACTGCCTCATCTTTCTCCAGCTGAGACTCTGGTGAGTCTGAACCACCGACCGTGTGGCGGGCAGCCCAATAGCTCACCTATCACCACGGCTCCTTCCAACAATGCAGCTGTGACTCTAATGTCCTGTACAGTGCGCAATGCCTTGGGTTTTGTGAAAACTTTCCCTCTGGGGCCATTCAGTCAAGAAAGTAGAGAGCCAAGGCTTTGATAATTATGGTAGTTGAGTGTTGGAGATTGAAGTGTACGTGTGTGTGGTGTGCACATGCATGCTTCAAAAGGTAAGGGCAGTGGTGGGTGGCTAAGGATACATTATTGACTAAAGGCAGTGGATTCAGTCAGGTCTGGCCCTAATCGTGGCTCTGGCCACCCTCCCCGACAGGGCCACCAGCTTTCTCCCGGAAAGGACAACAGGGTTTCCAGGCACGTTTGGAGGAGTTTGTGGAGACAGAGCTGCCGGGCTCCCTGCACTGGCTTTCAGGTGGTTGTGTTGATCGTTGACCACGGAAAGACTTGAGAATGAAGTGGATGCCAATCACCGGGCATCCGGGGCACTGCTTCGTGCTACAAAACACCATCTCACCACATTCCCGCCCCCCCTGAATCCTTCACACAAATGTACACAAAGCTACCGATTCCCACAAGTGGATTCTAATCGATTCTAACAAATTAGTCACTCCTGATCAGAATGTAAATTTCTGTGAGTAGATATTTGCCCAAGTTGTTCTGAGACTACAACAGAAATATGGCGAGATGCTGTACTGGTAGGATGCAGTCCCAAACAGTTCTGGGCGTGGAGTCAGGCGAGGTGGTGGGATTGAGCACTGGGCTGCTCACAGGAAGGTTGGAGGTTCAGCCCCGCCCCTGTGCCCCACAGGAGAAAGAAGTGAGGGCGGGTGTGAGGCCTTGCCATCTGGGAGACACTCAGCCGGGCTGCTGTCCGCAGGGATCGAAGCGAGACCAGTGCATCTGCTTATTGGGGCATGGACTTACCGGAAGACAATGAGGAATTTGGATGGCTCTGCCCACTAGAAGCCTTGCTCATAGCACTCTCTAATCTCTTCTTCTTTAACGGGCGAGAAATTTGCACATAGCTGTGCAGCTGCTCCTGTTCAAAAGTAACGCATGAACAGCATTGTCATCGCATGCAGTCAGAAAACTGTCACTCTTGGTAGGACACTTGCTTTGTTTATTGATGTTGAGGGATAAAGAGATTCAATATGTTTATGAACCCTGCTCGAGAGCATTCTTGTTTCTGCAGTCTTAATATTTTTCCCCTAACATGAGTCAGATTAGGCAATCACTCTCTCATCATCTGTACTTGCGCCCACGCCTTCCGCAAACCTCCTGCTATTGTCATTGAGTTAACTCAAACTCCTGGCACCCTCGTGCGGGCCCGACTGGAACTGTGTCAATAGCAGCGCTGGGGGAAATCGGTCACTAAACCTGTCTTCTGTGTGTTCCACCCAGGGACTCTCTGATGCCTCTGGGCCCAATCATGATATGGGGGTGGAGCTTCCAATACAGAAAAGCCCTCAAACTACGGCCCGCGGGCCACATGCAACCCGCCTTAGCCCACTGAGGACATTTATCCAGCCTGCCAGGTGTTTTTGCCCTATTTGTTTTTTTATTTCAAAATAAGATATGTGCAGTGTGCATAGGAATTTGTTCATAGTTTTTTTTTTAAGTATAGTCCAGTCCTCCAAGGGGTCTGAGGGACAGTGAACTGGCCCCCTGTCTTAAAAGTTTGGGGACCCCTGCCTCAAAAGATCATGGAATTTCCCCATGTAGTTTTGAAGCCCTGGCACTTTCATATCACCAGTTCTATAAATTCAACTTTAATTGGTTGAGCTACAACTGAAGTGATCACAACTCCTTTTAAATGATTGAGACCAGTTTGGAGTTCTTCAATCACTCTGAAAGAACACTGTCCCTTCATTAGCAGATGGTTACAGTGCACCCTTCTGTCATGTGATGGGAAACACCTCCTACCCACAGAGAGGGGAGCCCCCTCTTTATCTTCCTCCCTCATCATGCCCATCACCAGTTCCTGAAAAGGGTGTCACTGGGAAAATGCATGTGTATGGATTCATAAACTTTAAAACCTGTCCTCGGGCATGATTTACATTAAGTACTATGTTAATCGTGTAAAATCTCATAATTTTTTCGCTTGTATAAATACTGAAAGGTTTTACTATAAAGGCAAGTTGGACAAATGAATTTAGGGTATGAAGAGGAAGAGAAAGGCCTTCTAACTCCTCACAATAAGTTAGTGGCCAAGGAATGAATTCAGTTGTGTCAAGCTCTTCCTCTTATGCTTTAAAGCAGTGGTTCTCAACTTGTGGGTTGCGACCCCCTTGGGGATCGAACGCTCCTTTCACAGGGGTCACCTGATTCATAACAGTAGCAAAATCACAGTTATGAAATAGCAACGAAAATAATGTTATGGTTGGGTGGGGGGGTCACCACAACATGAGGAACTGTATTAAAAGGTCACAGCATTAGGAAGGTTGAGAACCACTGCTATAAAGGAACAAAACTAGATTTTAAAATTCCACACCGAGGATTTGGGACACACAGCATATATAAATCAGATCCGCTCCCTGCCCCACTGGCACATGTCACTTTAAGCCACTTTTATCCTGCAAGCGCAGTTATACCCAATCTCTTCAGCATTTACCTTGTCCTTCCATTTGAAGATGCAGTTGCTACAGGGATGCCTGGGCTTAGGTCTTTGCTCAAGTTCTGCTAATACTGATGACAGTTTATAGGAGTTTGCTTGCAACAGGTCTAGCTTCAAATTGATCTGTGGATACATTCATTTGGCCATATCAGTACATTTGTAGAGAACGAGGCACAGTGGGTGAGTAGCGGGATTCAGGAACATTTTCAAAATGGCAAAAAGCCTAGAAATGTATACATTTGACTCATCTATGACTATCAAAGAAAATGCTGAAGAGAAAACCATCTAACCTGTTTAAGTACTACGACAGGAGAGCCTGTGTTGATGAACACACCTTATTCTAGACAACACGGGACAAGAGAAAAAGCTTTTTATAGATATAAATGTGGACTCCAAAAAGGTAGTGGGATTATCTTGTAGTTCTATTTTTCCATGAAATTTTCGTAGCCCCCTCCCCCTTGTTTGTATGTAGATCAGTGTTTTGTGGCAATGAATAATAGCTTTTCTCAAGTGTCACTAAGCAGTGGAAAAAGAGAGCATGTGTTCGATTGCAGAAAGTAGATTTTTAGGTGGGCCATGAGGAAGGGCAATTGAGCCCACTGCAAACCCACTGCTACATGATTGATTCTGACTCACAGTGACCCTACACAGGGTCTCTGAGGCTGATTTTTCTTGTTTTATTAACGGAAGCAGATAGCCTCATCTTTCTCCCCCAGAGGAGCTGGTGGCTTTGAACCAATGACCTTGACGTTAGCAGCCCAACACCAAGCAGCATTGTCTGGGCTTCCTAATTGAGCCACAGGCACTCAGTACTGTGCACAGAATTGAACTAATATCATAGAATCAAACTAAAATGAATGTGAATTCTTTAACGGAAGAGTCCTACATTCGCTTGCGATGTTAGCAGCCTACGCTACCAAGGAGGCGATAGGAGACCTAAATTCCTGAGAAAGTTTGAGTTACGCTTCTGGACCTTGGATATAATATTGGGGGGGGTGGGGTGGTATTTAAGTATAAAACCAAGAAGTGAGACTAAAGACCCACTCCCTATTTCTTCCTGTTCTTAATTTGACTTGAACTAGAAACTACAGTTGCTTCTTTTCCAGCGCTTGTTCAGTCAGTAAATGTACTAAAAAAAATCTAAGCCTGCTTTACCAATCTTCTCCTTACTGTTATCACCCCCTTCTTCACCATGACACCCCTCCTTCCAAGGGTCATATCCTGGGCCTGAACCCTTCCAACCACAGGGAGGTCTCCAGTCCTTGAAATAAGCCACTGTCTTGTGGGGCAGGTTTTCCTCAGATGAAATAAAAATCTCCCAATAACATTGTAACAGCAGGCATCTGCTAGTCTGCATCTGAAAATGTCGCAACCCCTTAACCCACTGCTGTCAAGTTGCTTTCAACTCATAGCAACCCTCCCAGACAGGAGCCCTGCCCCGGAGGGCTTCCAAGTCTACAGTCTGCAGAGAAACAGAAAGCCATATGGACCGCCCACAAAGCCGCTGGTGTATTTGAACTGCCAAACTTTCAGCTATTATTGAGCATTTAGCCCTGTTTCCTTTTTTATGTGGCGGTCTTTCCAGCATCTGAGGACAATATCTTATGTAAACAACCCCCAGAAATTCTGCAACAACTTTACAGATTTTGCCAGCAGTCTTGTTTCAAATATGATACTTAAAGAAAAAAGGGAATAAATTGGAAAGAATTTAAATGATTCTCACTCATTGCTAACCTGCAGGGTAGAGTAGAATACTTCTTAGAGTTTCTGAGACTAAGTCTTTACAGGAGCAGCCAGCCTCATTTTCCTCCCAAGGAGCGACTGGTGGGTTTGAACCACCAACCTTGTGGTTGACAGCCTAATGTTTATCCCCAGCACCACCATGGCTTTTTACTTTTACCAAAGAACTCCTGAAACTGCCAGTTTGGGCAGAACCACTAGGCACCTACTTTCACAAGAGAGTTAAATTCCCAGCATAAGGAAATCTGGCAAGAGTTTCTTGTGTCCTTCCTGAATTCTTCTGAGATTAACCCTAGACCTCTTCCAGCCACTCTCTCAACCCAGCAGAAACCCCATAGTTTGCAAACATAGGCAGGAGGTATCTATCCTTTTATTTAGCTATAAAATGTACATACTGGGTGGGGGTGGGGGTGTAACTACTCATTTAATGTGAGTTCCTCCCAAAGAGCTACAATGTCCATCAGTATCAACACATGTCTGTAGAGCCATGAACAAAAAGCGCACTCAAGGACATCAAGCTTAAGCAGAGGGTCTGAGACAATGAGGAAGACGACCCTGGGTGAGATGGATTGACCCAGTGGCCGCACCAATCAGCTCACACATAACAGTAATTATGAGGATGTCGCAGCTCCCTGGCTTGTTGTTTGTCACCCTCCTCCAAAGAACTTGTCCTTCAAAGTTACTCCTTGTTCCCGGGAGCTCCCCCTGCACGC